TTCCTGCCTATGCAGGGGGTCGGACTTGATGATCTATTGAGGTCCCTTCCGACCCTAACATCTATGAATCTAAGTGGGAACACACACGGCAACAACCTTGGGAAGTCTGGGGCAGTGCACACGCCCCATCCTGCAGGGCAGCATCCAGGTGTCCTACACACGACAAGACCTTTTGTTCTTCTCCTGAAGTCTCCTGCCACATTTGCCATCCACCTGCCACTTCTGCAAGGAGCGAGGCAGAGGCTGTTGCCTCCAGAACCCTTAACCATCCAGCCCAGACAGTCCCGCAGAGCAGGTCCATCCTGCCCAGGCACACAGCTCAGTCCCACAGCATGACAGGCACGAGGCCCTTGATCCAGACCAGAAGCAAGCCAGCAGTCCCACCCAAACCTCGGGGCAGTCACATACACATTGGCCCAGCCACCTTCATATCCCAAGACAGGAATGCGGGACTGTCTTAGCAAGAGCTCACTGACCGCTCACAGGTAACTTTGGACCTCTCGCAGCTCATGGGCAGCACGGCACAAGCGCTTCGCCATGCTCAACTATGGGCCACCTGCATCACCACCTCTGCTCCTTTCTGATGGCTCGGTGGTAGCGACTGGCAAGGCAACTCCTTCCTCAGCACCGACTATTCCACGACAGCAAGGCGCATTGAAGTGGATACCTAAGGGAATCCCTTCCCTTCTTCACCAGCTTTACTAGAGGCATGCTCCCTGCATGAACAGCTTTGGGGCTCCCAGAGCGGAAGTGCTGGTCCACTGGACTGTGTTAAATTGAAAGCGATGATGATGCTGTAACATCTGCTGCAAGGCAAGGGAGCCTCTTGGGTGCCTGGTTAACCCGGCAAGTAGTCTGTTTGCAAGAGAAGAGCCACGGCTGAGCTCAGGTCACAGAAACCCATGCCTTGCAGCGCAGGGAGATGCTGGAGAGGCCCCCACTGAGTCCACTTACGATGGACGCACAGCTCTGAGCTGCTACTTCACAGGCCGTGTGCTCAGATGGCAGCAAGGGGCACGGCATGAGCAGGCTGCCAGCACAGCAGGGCACGGAGATGAGGAGAGGCTGCGTCTGGCTATGCCTTTGAAGAGGCACCACGTGCTCCCCCAGTCTCCTCTGCCCACAGCTAGCTGAGGAAATGAAGCCACAAGCTCAGACATTAAACGAGACTGGTGGTATCATGCCCAGGTTCCCGAGACTAACCAACTCCAGCTGGACTTCAGCCTGCAAGGAGACAGCACTAGAGCCTTGTAAGGCCCGCCTGGGCCAGGCTGGGTACAAACACTGGCTCTCGGACACTTGTGTTTGTCCCACGGTGGAAGAGAAGGCCTGAGAGACGGCCAGCTCCTCATGGAGTCCAGGGGGACCCAGCACAGACGGACGACACCATCTACCCCAGGGGCTGCATGCTTGAAACTGCTAAGCCCCAGCCTGGGCTTTTATCCAGAGCCAAATCAACACCCCTGCCATCTGCTGCCCTCTCTAATGCAGCCCTTACACTTCACACGGAGGTTACAGAGGAGGGTGAACACCCCCCCCATACAGTTACACACAATCTATTCAGAGGCAAGCGTTTTGCCAAAAACCCAGAACATTTAGTTTACCACCTCACTTACCCAGCAAGATGCTATGCACAAGAGAGCTCTACAGCCCGAGCCCAAGCCCAAGGCACTACTTTCGGGAGACATGAGCTGTAGCTTATAGTTCTCCTAAGTGCCTTGACCATTTTGGCATGCAACAGAAAAAAACACTGGGAAATGTCAGTGCAGGGGTTCATCAGGATTGCAAACAGGCAGCTACTCACTGCCACCGAAGGACAGCAGACATCAGGGTTTGTAGCCTGTTGCTAGAAATGGCTTGAGGGAGACTGGAGGAAGAAGGTGCAGCCGCGTACTGCAGGAGCTTTCTACTCCGGTGGGTATGCACTAATGCCAGACCATCCTGCCAGTGTAGTCTCACACGCTCCCCGTCCAGCCCCAGCCAACACAGTGCTCTCGCAAGCCCCTAGAAACCCCCACCTGTTTGTCTATGGATGCTGTGACATGGCAGTGACAGCTGTTTCCTCCCAGCACCAGCTGGCTGGCAGCCTAACTGCTGGGTGGGTCAGCTGGGAACGAGGACCTTTGGGAATCTACACTGGAAAACCGAAGTAGCAGATAGAGCCAGAATGCCAACATCAGCTGGAGGGGACACCCCTGGCTCAGTCGGCACTCCAGCACCCCGGAGAGCTGGTGCTCAGAGCACAAAGGCACTCAGCCCAGCAGGCAAATGCTACATGCATCCGCTGCCAGCAACCTCAATATCCCATCTCAGTCCCCAGAGCTAGCCAGCCCTGTGGTCTGCAACAGAACAGCTCCTAGTCAGCCTCCCTGCCCTTCAGGCTGCTGAGCCCAGGCCAAAGGCAAAGCCAGTCTCGTCACTGCAGGAGGCAAAAGTGGTGCATTGCCCAGCTCACACTTCCCACGTGGTCAGTCAAGCCTTACCATAGCAGAACACAGACTTCATGTGGTCCTGTTTAGCCATCCCCAGCATCGGCAGCATGGTCCCAAGGATGGAGTTCAAGAAAGGCACCATCCCGAATACTAGTAGGAAAGAAGAAAAGAGAGAGTCACAACTGGCTGGTGTGACCCCAGGCAGTGTCTGATCGTGGGGAGGGAGACTGTGAGAGAATCCATGTACAAAGCGGACTAGACAACAGCTGCACAAGGTCCTTCAGTCAGTCCAACTCAAGCGCCTGACATTTCAAACACAAACCACGAATGCAACTGCAAGCGGTTCTGAACAAGAGCAGCAGGGATACCAGCTTGGGCAGCTCAGGACTACAGCTGGTCATCACTGCAGGGCCATGCACCCAAGGAAGAAGCACCCCGGGAGGTGCGCTCCACTGCAGTGGCAGACAGTCACCTCCAGAACCGGGGCTGCTCACAGCAAAGCAGTACCGCCAGCTGGGAGTGCACACCGATAGAAGAGCTGCCACTCAGTGAGAGCTCTGTCCACAGCACAGGCTGTGAGACGGGACAGGGAAGAGGTGGCTGGTAGCAGTCGCGTCTAATTTCAGCACAGAGCAACTCCCAGACATGATGGGAACAGCATGCTGGGGGCTCAGCAGGCTGCATCTCTGCAGCAAAGGAGTCCTCGAGTTTGCATATAGGGAGCTTAGGCAGGGTTAGGGGTCCTGATCAGCAGTGCAGCAAGTCAGCCACAGCAGCAGCTTGGGTCTCATCTTAGGGATGCTGAACAGCTGGATGCTCAGTCAGCTTCGAGCAACAACTGCAGAGCCCCCGACTCACGCAAGGCCTTAGAGCAGCACATGCTGGGCTCAGATGGCACCAGGGCCAAAAGGCAGTAGCAGGCACTGCATCAGCTCATCTCCATGCACAAGCCCACAAACACCTCAACACCTCTGGCAGTGGGTCTGTCATTCTGCAGTGACCTTGCACCTGCCTGCCAGCTCTAACAGCTTCCCCTGTCCCAAGCCAGCACAAAAGGACAGGATGAGTTCTGGAAAGCCACACTTCTGCTAGTGACTTGAGGCTTTGTCTCACCACCCATGTGGAGGGGAGGAACAGCAAGCAAGCAGTGCACACCAGTGCCACCCCCACCACCTGCATTTTAGCACGTAACCTCTTCCTAGCACAGCTACTCCAGACATCAGGCTCTACAAAGCCCAGTGAAGTGAAGTCCAAGGGCTCCGCAGCCATGCCAAGCATGGTCACCTGTGCAGCGCCTGCTACACCATGGAAGTGGCCAGGTTTGTGCCATGCTCGTTGCAGCTGGAGCACTCCAAACCACCCTGTGCACGAGGTCTTGCCTTGGCTTTACTCCCAGCGCACAAAGTCTGCACAGCTTATTGAATTTGGGGGGGGGCGGGAGAAGAGTGGAGGAGCAGCTAGTTACCGTTAGACACAGAGAGGTTTGCGAACGTCTGCATGATGAAGTAGTGCGGCAGGATCCCGGGCTGGAATTTGGTCAGCACCTCCTCCATCACTTTGTTGATGAAGCGCTGCCCCACTGCAACGAGGACATTGCTTGCTGCCTGCTGCCACTCATGGACTATTTCCTAAGCCAAACAAACCAGGGACAAGTTACCCAAAGCAGCCGCACATGAGCACCTCTGCAAAATGCTTCTACTCACTGGGGACTAGAGCACTAGCACAGCACTTGCCCACAGCAGCTGGCCAGCCCTGGAAGCTGACAGGACAGACTATGCCAGTGGTTCTCGACCTTTTCAGACTCAAAGCCCCACTCAGAAAATTCCAGCTTTTAGTTTTCCCTCAAGTTTCTGCCTATGGGAGAGCAGAGCAATTCTTGTGGCAAAAACCTCAAGAGACCACAATGAAGCAGAAGGTTTTTAACACTATGAATTCCTATCTGAAATCCCTGGTTTTTCTTGTGACTCATGCTTGCATGCATAAGTACTAGTGTGGTGCCCCTGAGCAGCTTCGAAAGGTTCTCAAGGCACCCGGGTTGAGAGTCACCGGACTATGCGCAAAGATAAGTAGGGGCAGAGTCGGTCCCCAGGTAGGTGTGCATCCCAGACAGGTGTTCACCTTGTGTACACAACAGCGTGTGCAAATCCTGACAAGAATAGACGTTTAGACACGCAGGTCCGACTAGTGGGTTTCCCCTTTTTCTGCAGTTTCCATTTCTCCATTCCCCCCCAAAAGGGGCAGGGGCCCCTGATCCCCCCCCCCCCAACACACACACACTCCCCTGCCCTCTTCCATCCCTTGATTACCCATGACTGTTAAGCAGATTAAGAGGAGAAACCCGCTGTCAGTTTTCATCTCCTCACCCTCCCACACAGGGCACAACACACCTGCGGCCCCTGGGCTACCACGGACTCTTAGGCAGAGCAGAGAAGGGTGCAGGGGGAAGACTGGCCTGCCGAAAGGACGGCAGCAGTGATGCTCACTGCAAGGAGGAGACAAGGGGCAGCCGGACTCCCCCTGCCTGCAGGTCAGAGGCCTGAGAGCATGCAGCATAGGAAGCCTTGCAGAGGGAGCCCCAGATGAGGCCCCGGCTAGCAGCATTTACCTTTGACTTGGTCATTTCATTAGATGCCAGGAAGATAACCACCTTGGCGGTGCTCTTGTCCAGATGGGACATGTTATTCTTCACCACCGTTTCCATTGCCTTCAGGATGGTGACGCGGTGCGGGTAAGCCAGCTGTGGGAAAAAGAATGCACAGGAGTCTGTGGGACCAAACGAAAGCCCTGGAAGGCTCAGCACCCCTTCCGGGGCTCAGTCTGCTAGGGCGCCTGCAGGAAGGCTGTGGCATATCCCCTTTCTACCTAATCTGCTGCGTGACAAGGCTCTGGCTGTGGGAAGAGTGGAACGTGCCAGCTCTGGCTTGTCTTTGTTGCTGACCCTGGCTGTGCTTCACTGCCAGCAGCTGAGTCAGACAGCCACTTGCGAGGGGCTCTCGTAGGCTTCTCCCTGTCACTGGGCCTGGGCCCTCCGCAGTACTCCCAGCCCGGCGGTCACATTCCCCCAACCCAACCTGCACCTCTCAGCCAGCGCTGTAGCTGCGGACTCTGTTCCACCCTCCTGCCAGCGGCTCTGGGCAGGCGTGCAGATGCCTACCTTCTCGTGCTGCCGCAGGTATTCATCACAGCAGTTCAGGATCTCTTCGGGCTCGGCTTCTCCCAGATAGCATAGAGCACTGTAGATCTGCTCCTGGACTGACGGATCCTTGTCGGTGGTGGCATCCATCAATGTCGTGGCAAGTCCTGAGAGGGAAGTTAGGCATACACAATCGTGGAACATGATGCCTGGAAGGGACCTCAGGGGTCACATCTAGTCCAACTCCCTGCTCCAAGCAGGACCAGCCCCAACTACATCATCCCAGCCAGGGCTTTGTCTAGCCAGGTCTTAAACACCTCCAAGGATGGAGATGCCACCACCTCTCTGGGGAGCCTGTTCCAGTGCTTTACTACCCTTCAAGTGAGAAAGTTCTTCATAATATCTAACCCCAACTTTGCTTGCTGCAAAGCGAGACCATTGCTCCTCATTCTGTCATCTGCTACCACCGATCATGTACACACACGCCTTCCAACCCAGGTGTCCCACAGACCGTGGAATATAGGCACCGCTGCTCTCCGGAGAGAGGAGGCACTTGGTCTCCCAGTGCACCCGCTGCAAGCCGGGACTCCCACCCTGCCTTTGCTCCATCACCTCTTGGTCCCCAACTACTGCCCCTTTCCAACTTGCCTCAACCTCCTACCCTTGAGCCTTCCTTCACATGCTCATTCAAGGCTCCCTCACTCCCGCCGGGACCTGAAGAATGGTTTTGCCTGGCCACCTCGACCTTGGTAAAGCCCCTCTCCCCAGTGCCAAGGCCGTGCTTCCCCACCTGATGCAGTGCCTACACACCCGACACAGCTTCCAATGTTTGCAGTGATTCAGTTGGATGCACCCAAATGTGATGCTTCCATCACTGTCGCCTCAACAGGACCTTAGCCTTCACACTCTCCTGCAGGTTACAAGGTTTTACACTTTCCCTTTTGGCTCTACAACCAAAGGCTGGGGCTGGAGGACGTTTCCTGTCCTCACTACCCAGAGACAAACATAAGCGCCAGGTGCTGACATGCCACAGGGCTGAGAAACAGGCCTGGAGCTAAGCCCCGTGCTCCTTCTCTGGCCACGTGCTCTCTGGGAGCAGGGAGGGAGATTCCCTGGGTCACCGCCAAGCGGCTGGAAGAGGCGTTCTGCAGACGGACCGACAGCTCTGCTGTGGCAGCGGCTCTGGCTTCCACTTGTGCCTCCTGGCTGATTAAGGCTAGCAGGGCTCCTGGCGCTCTCGTCTGACCTCCTGCAGCAGCTCCCTGGAGCCTGGGCTCGACCGTGCCGTGGTGGCTTAGAAGATCGAGGGCCTGGGCACGTGCACAAGCTACTGCAGCGTAAGCAAGGAAGGGAGCTCCCAGGTCAGCAGCCAAATCTAACTGCTTGCAGCAAGTGGATCGCAAGTTGCCACCCATTTCCCATGGGGTAAGGGCATGTGCACTGGCAGGTCTGCACCCTTGCCTGGCTCACCTGGACTCACTCGTGTGAAGAACAGGTACAAGCTCTGCCATCCGGGAAGGAGCTGATGCCCTGAGCAGGAAATAAGCCAAAGGCTGGGAGGACCAAGGCCATTGCCACCCAGCACCTCCCTTGGCTTCCTCTGGGTGGCAACTCCCTTCTGCAGGAGATAGGAGGCATCTGCCACGCAGACCTGCTGACTCGGAGGCCTGCACCCTGCCAGGAGCGGAGTCCTGGATGTTATGGAAGAAGCATTGCCTCTGGCTACTACCCCAGGCTGCCCATCCAGGTGGGCACTCATGATACTGCCAGGGGGACCCTGGGCAGATCAGAAGCGACTGCAGGATTCTGGGTGCAAGGGGGAAGGGGACAGGGGCCCAGACAGGAGCAGATGCACCCTGGAAAGCAACAGGTCAGTGGTTCTCAGCCTTTTGAGACTCAAGGCCCCTCTCAAACAATGCCAGGACTCAGTTTCTGACTATAAAAATATAACACGGTGATTCTTCTGTTGCAAAGACCTCAGAACAGCCACAACGGGCCTGACTGCTTTTAAACACTCATTTGAGTCCCATTTTAAACCTCTGGGTTCACCTTGTAAATCATGCTTGCACACCCAGCAGTGCCAAAACTGCACCAGCCCAGGGCGCTGCAACACTCTGGTTGAGATCACGAGTGGAGATGGTGTCGTCAGCAAGGCCTTGGCTTCTTCAACCATGGGGGCACATTCCAAGGACTGATGAGGTTCATCTGACAAACGGGGAAGAGAGCCTTCCTGAATAGGCTCGCTAACCTAGCGAGCAGGGCATTCAGCTCAATTCAGTGGGGGATGGAAGAGGCAAGTAAAGAGCCAGGTGAACTGCACAACAACCAAGTGAGAGGAGCCTTAACAGTCTCAGAGAGAAGTCAGGGCGATCAGCTAGTTCTCCAAGATGTTTATACGCTAACGCAAGACACGCGAGGAATATGCAGAAAGCCCAAACACAGTGCCAGAATTATGATGCAAGTGGGATAAGGAGGACTTGCCAGGATAGCTGGCATGACAGGAGTCCGATGGGTATAACTTACCCAGGACAGCCAAGCTGAGGGAAGAGGCAGGAGGCAGCGTGGCTCTATGGAAGTGCTGCACAAAGTGGGACCGAGGTCTGTTGAAAGCGTCTGGGTTAAGGTAAAAGGGCTGAACAAAATCCACAGTGGCTGTCTGCTGGAGATAGCCAAAGCCAGGAGGAAGAGGTGGGCAAGGCTTTCTGTAAACTAACCCATGCTCCCAAATTGCAAGGGCTGGTGCTTGCGGGGATTTCCATCATCGCGGCTTCCGCCAGGAGGGTAACAGCAGCGCAGAGGCAATCCATGAGAAGGCGGAATAAAGACACCAAACTTCAGAGAAGGAGAATTAGGACCTGACGGGCAGGATCCCCGAGAAGCCAGTCTGAGGGACAAGGCAGTCCGGGAGAGCTGGCACAAGGGCAGGACAACCCCGGGTGAAGGAAGGACAGGACACACAGTGAGAAACCAGCCTGACTGAACAACCAACTCTCCCATGAGCTGAAACTGAGAACAAAACCCTGCCAAGAGTGGAAACTTGGTCACGTTACTGAGGAGGAGTATCACAAAGGTAGGCAAGGAGGAAAAAAAAAAAAAAGAATCAAGATCAAGGCACAAACTGAGATGCAAGTAGCAAGGGACATGAAAGGCACCCCACGAGTATGTCAGAAGCAAGAGAAGGACCGAGGCAGGCGTAAGGCCCTCACTAAATCTAATCAGGCGCGGTGGAGAAGCCCGAAGTAAGAACCGGGCTGACTGAGTCTGGAGAAGAGAAGACGGAGGGGGACCGAATAGCAGCCTTCAGCTCCCTGCGGGGGGCTGCAAAGAGGATGGAGCTGGGCTGGTCTCAGTGGGGGCAGATGACAGGACAAGAAGCAATGGGCTCAAGCCACAGCAAGGGAAGTTGAGGTTGGATATTACGAAAAACTCTCTCACGAGGACGGTGGTGAAACACTGGAACAGGTTACACAGAGAGATAGTGTGCTCTACATCCTGGGAGGTGTTTAAGACCTGGGTAAACAAAGTCCTGGCTGGGATGATGTAGCTGGGGCTGGTCCTGCCTGGAGCAGGGGTTGGACTAGATGTGACCCCCGCCCGAGATCCCTTCCAGCCCTCGTTGTCTGCGAGTCTACGGTTTAATGCCTTTCCTATTCCAGTCGTTGAGAATCAGGTGAGCTACCAGATGCCGAGCACAGCTGAGAGCAAGGACAGGGGAGCAGGCAACAGCCTGGAGCAGTGGAGGAGGTTAGGGGTTACTTAGAGAAGCTGGAGGTTTCGGAGACAGCAGGGCCAGAGGCGACGCACGCTAGATGGCTCGAGGACTTGGCCACGGAAATCGCAGAGCCACTAGCTATTCTTTTTGACGGAGGGCACTGCAGTCCCCTCTTCCCGTCACGTGGGACCTTGCCCAGCCTCCCACAAGCTAGTGGTACGAAGGCTGTGCGGTACAAGCGAAGAGATGTAGGAGCAGGCCTTTCTGCCGCTCCAGCTCTGCTGTGCAAAACCACCCCGTGCACAACGCACAGAGCAAGGAGCAGGCTCAGCTCCCTGCCTGCTGCTGCTGCTCGGTTTTTACAAGGGAACAGATCGTTCTGCCTCTCAGAAACAAGGTGCGTCTCCTACTCTGGGGCACACTGTACGCACGGGAATGCAGGACTTCAAAACTATGATCCCAGTTGCAAGAACATAACGTATGTGCACGTAGCTGTACGTATTGCACGCAACGTGAGGCAATACCTCTGGGACAGAAGGCACGTGGGCAGGTACTTCGTGCCGACCAGCTCGTTACACCCAGCCTTGAGGGCCAGGGCCGTCTGTGAAAGCCTGCCTCTCAAGGCTGTTAATCGACTGCTATTTTCCTCTCCAGTCACTGGCTGCTCCAGCACGGGTGTCTGAGCCACAGCCCCGTGCACGGACGCCGCGAGAAGACCGATTTGCATTTTGCTGCATATCGCACCAGACGCTCCAGAACCCATTTCCAGCGCGAGGCGGCGTGGATCGGCGCTTACGCGCGCCTGCACAAGCACCGAACTCGCTTTCGAGGGGCCGAGCAGTTTTTAAAGCGGTCAGGAGAAGACGCTTGCCGTAGCAGAGGCCGACAGCTAAGCGCGGCTTCTGGGGGTTTCCGAGACAGGCACGCGCTAAGATCCTAGCGGCACGGAGACTTCAGCGCGTCTCCCTGGCCGCAGTCGGCGCGGTCCGCATCTAACCCGGGGCCGCCTCCTGCACGCACGGGGACTGCGCGCGCCGCGTCCGCCCCGGGGCCGGCAGAGCCGTCTAGCCGGACCTGCAGCTTGCACAGCTCAGCGCCGGGAGCTTCCCCCACAACCAGCGAGGCGGGGCCGGCTG